ACCCATCTTAAAGTTGTTAAGTTGAGAAATACTGTGTTAGACAGAGGAGTACAGTCATATTCACGGAACGAATTAAGTTCGTAAACCAAGGTTCCACTGTATTTGTTTAGTGTTACCCCTGCTGGATCTCTCCCCCGCTTGCATTTTTGGTGGGGCTTAGCATATTTTGTAAACCCAGTTTAGTTTAGTGAACTGTGTGAACCGTGAAAATGGGTTCATTTGGCAATTAGGTTAACTTGTATGAATGCAACTACTGGCTGACTTATCACAGCAGTTTCTGAGAGATACCACAAAGCACTTCAGCTCCATCTATCAACGGAAGGAAAGTTAACAATGTTCTGCAAAACAAGAAAGGCCATTGCTTCACTCTCAGGAACTTGATGCCTCAGATCAATTGAATCTCCTTCAAATCAAATCTTCCCTTTCGTGCTTTGCACAGCCCTGTACATTGGTTTTAATGAAACTTGATATACCTAAGTGAAGAAGCATAGGACTTTAATCTGAATTCTGCATGGAGGAATGGAAAATTTATAATGGGAGGCTGAAAGGAGTTAAAGTTCTTAGGTGACCAGTGACCACCAATGTTTGGGGGACCCACAGTATTAATAAAAATGCAAAATGTGTCCACAGGCCCCCAAGGGACTTTTATGAGCCAGTGGCTATATTCACAGAAAGCTTGAGTGGTGCTTTATTTATTTATTTACTTATTTACTTATTTACTTACTTAACTTACTTACTTACTTAAAGTTTTGCATAAAAACGTGTGAAGCCAAAAATATAAATTGTGTAATCAGGCGGAGCATGTTGTGTGAAGACAGCTAGAGTATATTCTCTTGATTTATTCCTTCCCTTCATAAGATAAAAGGCACACAGAGAGTTGCTCATTGACTCTTGGTTAAAAGTGAGAGAGACTAGTGGCCCTCTAGATGGTACTGGATAAGTCCCAGCAGCTGTTATCTTAGTCACGCTTGCTGGGAATTATGGGAATTCTAGTTCAGCAACACCTGGAATCTAAGTGGTGCTGTAGCTCAAATTCAAATGGGAGGACAGAAAAAGTGATAAATACATTATGGAGAGTGTGAATTTTTATAAAGATTATTACCAGTTTTTATTGTTAATGCCTAAGTTTTGTTATAAAAATAAAACTGAGTTCATCCTAAAACGTTTATTCCAAGTGCAAATAACTCATTCACTATCACGTAAGTTAATTTCAGTTGTGTAGTCAAACATATGCTGCAGCTTAGCAGATAACTTTCTGAATTCTTAAAAGCTTTGAGTGCAACAGAAAAAAACTAATATGGGCTTCTGCTACGAGAGGATGCGGTGGCACTACCCTGGCTAGAAGGACGAGAAAAAACTGGATCTGTAGGTTCAGGACTGGGGCTGAAAGTCAGAGATACAATTTTAACATGTGGTTGACTTGAAGATGAAACTGAGCTCTTAAAGGACCTAGAAAACAAGGAAGCAATTACATTACTCAAAAATCATGCAAATGAAACATACTTGTGAAATAAAATGCCATATTCTTATCACCATAAAGAATGACTTCTCAAATAGTCATACTAATGGTACTTATTTTAAATCCCTTCAGTTGCCAATGAAACCCACTTTTGGCTCGCTCAATCCATACACATCTTTACAAAATGTAGGGAATGTTTCTGAACTCTAAGTCATATTTGTCACAGAACAACAACAGTATTTATGAGTGATATTTTTAAAAATATATAATTACAAGACAAAATTTTATGTCATCCACAAATTTTATGTCATAAACTTTACTTCTTTGTCATTAATAACAACATTGAAGAGTATAGAGTGCAGAGTTGAACAATTTGGCATCTCTCTTGCTTCTTCACTTCAGTCTGAATTTTCAACCTAGGACTATATCTCCTTAATTGTCATGCCATCCACCTAGTGTGCTACACCAGAATATCATAGGGTACTCTTGTCAACTGCTCTGGTGAAATCAAGATATAGTACATCTACAGCATTCCCCAATCTACTTAATCAAAAAATGAAATAAGAATAGACAGACAAAACTTGTGGACAAATCCCTGTTGACTTCTGGTAATTACTGTACCGTTTTCAACATATTTACAGTTCAATTTCTGATAGTTCCTGGATCTTTTTTTCCCCTATTTGTAAAGATGGGATTATTTGTGTTTCTTTTGTCTGGTACACAAATACATAAATGTTTGATCATTAAAGCTAATATATAAATGTTTGGCCATACCATCAGCAAGTTCCTTCAGTTTCTAAGATGCAGTTTATCTGTTCCTCGAGATTAAAACTCATTTACAATAAGTAGAAAGAAACATGATCAGAGAACAGCTATTTCAAGCTTCAATCTTTCTCCCTCATACTCTTCACAATTATCTGCCCTAATTATTTTGGTTGAGCATCTGATGGACCCAGTGTGGGTTCAGAGGTAGGTTGGGGGTTTTCCTGAAGCTCTGGCATGTAGTTTGGCTGATGCCCTCACTGCTGCTAGGAATGAACAGGAGACAGCGCTAGACCAAACTGCGCCTGTGCAGGCGCTCTGTGCACGTGGATCTCGTAGAGTTCCATGGCTTACCAAACAGCTCTAAGAGATGAAATAACACAAGAGGAGGAAGACAAAGAGTGATGTCGATAGAGCACAGATAAGAGCCTATATTAGGACTTAGATTGTGGTGATAAGGGCAGTGAAGCATACTTACTTCTCTGCCCTCATTGCATCTGCAGATAGCCACCCAGCAGCCCTGTTTCAGGTGACCAAGTCCGTTCTTGGTAAGGAGGAGCCGGGGGAGCTCTTGCAGGGCTGCTGTGAGGAATATTCTCAGCATCTGTCAGATAGTCGTTCAACTTTGCTCAGATCCTTTGGAAGTGACTGCGACATGTCTGAGCCCGGCTGATCCTGAGGAAGTGGACAGGGTCCTTGTAGCTGTGAGCTCAGCCATCTGTGTTCTGGACCAATGCCCCTCCGGGTTGATTAAGGCCTCCTGGGAAGTATCATGTGGCTGGGTCCAAGTGGTGGTTAATGCCTCTCTGCAGGAGAGGGTGGTACCAGCTGTTTTGAAGGAAGTAGTGGTGTGCCCCCTCCTCAAGAGGCCATTCTTGGACCCAGCTGTGCTAGACAACTTTCATCCAGTCTCCAACCTTCCCTTTTTAAAGAAGATTGTTGAGAGGGTGGTTGGTGCTAAGCTTCAGAGGACCCTGAATGAAGCGGATTATCAGGACTCTTTTCAGTCTGGGTTCAGGCCAGGGTACAGCACTAAGATGGCATTGGTCATGCTTGCTGATGACCTTTGGAGGGCTTCGGACAGGGGTGGTGCAACTATCCTGGCTCTCCTTGATCTCTTAGCAGCTTTTGATACCATCGACTATTGAATCCTTCTGGACCAGCTTTGGGAGTTGGGAGTGGGAGGCACCGTTACGTACTGGTTCTCCTCCTTATGGCTGATTTCAGTTGGTGAGAGGGAGGGGAAGAGGTCAAGCCCTAGGCCTCTGCAGTGTGAGGGGCCTCAGGGCTTGGGTCTCTCCCCTCTCCTCTTTAACATTTAAATGAATCTGCTGGGTGACGTTGTTCAACGGCATGGGATGCAGTATCGTCAGTACACGGATGATACCCAGCTATACATCTCTACCCTGGCTGGGCAGGTGATGCTGTTGTGGTGTTGACCAAGTACCCGGAGGCTGTGAGGGTCTGGATGGGGAGGAACCTACTTCAACTCAACCCTGGCAAGATGGAGTGGCTTTGGGTTTTTGGCCCCCCAGGATCTGGTGATTTGTCATCTTTGACCCTGGACAGGGCTGCTCTTCCCTGGACTGAGCTGGTACACAATTTGGGGGTCCTCCTGGACTCACAGTTCATGCTCGAAGAGCAAGTGGCAGCTGTTGCTGGGGAGTCTTTGCACAGATTCATCTTGTGTGCCAATTGTGCCCTTTCCTGGACCAGGAGTCCATGCCTTGGTCACTTCCTGTCTGGATTACTGTAATGTGCTTTACATGGGGCTTCTCTTAAAGGCCACTTGGAAGCTACAACTGGTCCAGAATGCAGCAGTGCACACAGTATTGGGTGTTTCTAGGTATGCCCATGTTACATTTCTGTTGTGTGAGCTGCACTGGCTCCCAGTTTGCTTCTGGGTGCAATTCAAGGTCCTGGTTATCATCTTGAAAACCTTACATGGCACGGGACCAGGTTATTTGCGGGACCACCTCTTCCTGAGAGTATCTGCCCATCCTATCACATTGGATAGGGTAGGCACATTTCAGGTCCCTTCCCTGAAATCGTGCCACCTAGTGGGACTTCAGAAGCATGCCTTTTCTGTGGCTGCCCCTACCTTATAGAATAACCTGCCCTTGGTGATTTGGCACGCCTCCACCCTTTTAGCCTTTTGGAAGGCCATCAGGACCTGGCTTTTTACCCAAGCACTGGGGTTGAATGAGGATATCTGGAGTTGGTTGTGGGGCATCCCAAGGGGATGGTTGAGGGGCTGGGTTTTGCTTTGGTTTTATGGTTTATAATTTTATGTTCTGTGTTTTATTCATGTTGTAAGCTGTTCAGAGTTGTGTTTTAAGATGGACGGCCATACAAATCTAATAAATAAATAAATAAATAAATAAATAAATAAATAAATAAAACGAGTTCTACATGTGTCCTTTTTTGTTTTCAGATTTTCACTCAGCTTTTTCTGAAATCACATTGCCTTCTGCAGCTGCCTTCCATTTTTTCCTCATTAGAATTGTTTGTAATGGAATTTTTCAATGTCCTTTATAGAGGAACTCTCATATCTCTTGAGCCCCTTTGATTTCTACAATATCACCCAGTATTATGGGACTTCTGAAATCTGGATACTTTTAATATAGAGTGTAACTCCTCCTCCCTTTCTATTGCCTCACTTACTGATTAAGAATTTGTATCTTACAATTGCTATATTCTAATTATGGGAATCATCCCAGCAGGTACCTTTTATTTCTATAAACTGTATTTGTTTTGTTTGCAGCATTTACTGGCCAATTTAGAATTTGCATTCCATTGTTAACTGATCAACTCTTCCCTATATTTCCCTGTGGAACATACAATTTGTTGGCATTCTCTTTATTACCTCTACCCAATGGTCTCTAAGCACATTCATGTGTACATTACTTGACTCAGAGGTTGCACTCACGTGCTAGAAGATGAGGTGTGAACAGATGATCGAGAACTAAGGCGAGAAGGAGAAGTTGTAGAAAGATGTAATGAAGCCTACAAACAAATAAATAAAGATGAGATAAAGTCTGCTATAAATGAACAGGAATAAAAATGCTAGCTCCTTGATTTGATAAATCAGCATTCCCTAATCTGGTGCTCTCTGAATATGATGATGCTACAAATTCCAGGTTTTCCAGCCAGCATGATGAACACATTAGAGATACTTTATTAAACAATGGCCTAGAATGATATTCACACACCGTCACTAAAGGACAAGCATATGCATCTTTGCATTAAATTATGAGACAAGAATGATTAAGACAACTAAAATGGTACCTGTCCGAAGTATTTTTCAAAGGCTGTATTTAACTCTGGATTTGCTTCTGAAATATCAAGCAGCATTTTATCTATGTATTTGCTGAAGTCTTTCAGTGCACGAAGTTCAATGTCTTTTTCTTCTTGTGTTTCTGACTGAGTATTCTTTAATGTTCGGATGTCTCTGCGCAATCGGGTAACCTTTTTAGACATACAAGAATTAAAACAGAATACTAGATGCTAAAACACCAGTTAACTTTTATATTAAAGAATTATCTTAGCTACAACTGATCATGTTCACCCCAATTCTTTTATTTTACTGAGTACTAAATAAAACAGAATCTATTGCATTATGTTTGTTTAAACTAACCTGCTTTGAGACTCTTTCTAGTCTGGGCTTCTGATCATCTATTTCTCTGGATAATCTCAAAACAGTTCCTTGTTTATCTTTTATTTTTTCATGGAAGACAGACTCATCTTTCAAAAGAGTATCAAGATTACTTTGCATGGTCTAGAAAAACAAATGTTTATATATAAGTCTCTTTGGAAATTTCTTTGAAATTATCCAATCAACAATCCACTATAACATAAAATAAATATAAAATAAATAAACACTATAACTTAAATATGCATTACAACCTCTTTCTAGAAGGTGTAACCCAGATACAAATAATGAAAACAACAACCTGCCACCTTTATTGTTAGTTACTCTAATCAAAAATTTGCTTTCTTCATATGCCATCTCTGAAAAGTTCCTTTTGATGTACCTTGTCAACACCTATTTAGGAGTAAAACAGTATAAAATATAAAACACAAGAGTAACAGTATTTAGGCGGTTGTGGTGCAAGAGGAATATAACACCTTTACACATTTGAGACTGCAGTTTGATCTCATGTTTGCATAAGAACCTGTGCCTGCAATTACTACTAAAAACTGCCCAAAATATGCAACTTGTACACTTATTTTGGACTTAAATGCACTAGGCATGACTTGGGTCTAAAGCCATCTGTAGGATCCACGACTTTCCTCAAAATGTTGAAAAAACAGCCCTGTTGTGACACAAGCCTAGCACCGTCATATGTTTGTGTGATGTCATAACACACAAAGGGGTGTGAGAATACAGACAGATATGAATAGTGTTCACAAACAAACAAACAAACAAATAAATCTGGATCTGAACAGAAGTGTCTTCCAGTAGCCTCTTTACCTGAATATCCTCTTGAAGCTCCTTGATCTGTCTTCGCTTATATCGATGTTTCTCATCAGCAGCTCTCTTCTCTTCTTCCAGCTTCATTTTCTCTTCATACTCTTCACCTATGAAGTATTACTGGATATTGAACACAGTATGTGTCCCATTTTGGGAAGCTGGTTAGGTCTCCTTTCTAACATAATGAAATGGATACAGCTAGCCTGCAACACTTCCAATATGGAACACTTACATACCATGTTGTACAAATGTGAACAGTATATAATGCAGTGAATTGAACATCCATGGGCCTTTGAAGACATTTGAGTCATTACTTAATTATTGTTTAGGGTTGGTTAGCTCAAGATATTTTAGATAAACCTTCATTTTCTAAAAAAATAATTTTCTCTTTTACATTACCTTATACTCTTTCAAGAAACCTTATATATTAGTTATTAGCAATGCATAATCATAAACAACAGAGCCAGTAGAGGGAGCAAAAGCTAAAAGAAAATAGCTTTCCAAAGCTACAGTATTCTGAAGTAGTACTGTAATACTCAGGGAAGATTTTGTGTTTTTAAGTAATCTTTCAGTGAGGTTCTGTCTCAAGTCAACTGCAGAATTCACTTTCCTTCACTGTAAATAAACTTTCCTCTTATTCTTCTGGAAATGTTGCTTCGTAATAAGAAAAAAGTGCTTCTAAAATCAAAAGAAAAAACTGTTTTGCCAAAAGTCATCTGTATTTCATTTCCTACCATTGTATTTTTACAAGGCTCTTCCTTAACAGGGATTTGGTAGGTCATATTAAGACAGATCTTTCTGAATCCTCTACAATCAACTTCTGTCTTCCCTACTGATTTACCCAACCTCTTCCTTTCTAGCTGTTTTAAGTGATTGTGTGGATAAATAACAAAAGGCAGTGGGAGATTTATATACTGCCCCCATGTTAGTATGAGTTCCAATAATAAAATAAATACTATAAATATCTATTTAATATAGTAGAAAACAGTGACTGCAGAATCAGTAAAATCTAGAGCGCCAGAGGGAAAGCTTCTTGTTAGCAGGGTGGAACCAAGGAACAGTAGTATTAGCTTTGATGTATGAGATGCAATAATAATAGACCTTTCTGTGGGACAGAATCAGAAGATTTGAGAATTGTTTAAAATAAAATAAAATAAATAAAAACAAATCCAGAGCGCTGCAACTGAAAAGGCCCCTCACTGATCACTCTTGCCTAACTTTAGATTATGAGGCGTACTGTAGATACTTGTACTACAAGACAGTCTATAACTTTATAAGTAACAACTAGCATTTTAGCTGGACTAAGACATGGGAGCTAGCATAGATGATCAAATGCTAGTGAGATTATTTTCTCAGAAGCAGTATTTTGTAGACTTCAAAGGTCCGGGCCAGGTATTCCTAGAACTGCCAAGTCACCAAAACAGCATATGCTATATGTGGGGAAGATTCCATCCTAGTACAACATATTGCAGTTAAGAGGAAAGCAAAAATAGGAGGAGGAGGAGAAAGAGAAGGTTGCCTGATAATGCAGTCTAGTAATTTCGCTCACTCCTGAAAATTATGAATGCAACAGAACTGGCAAGTGAAACACAATTTCTATACCAAAAAAATTCACTTGTAGTCACAGGTATGCACACACATACACATACACGCACACACACACACACACACAAATTCTTGCTACAGGTCTAGGAGATAAGCTATGTTTTAATAATGACTTGCCCAAAGCTATCCAGTAAGTCAGGATTCCCAGCAGAATGCCCCATGGAGATCTTCTCCACCAAAACGGTCACTGCACGACAACAGTACTGTAATACCTAACCAGATCTTTTCTAATCCTCAAAGGATTAATAAAAAGGCATTCTGTTTACATTTGCATGTACCATACTCAACACAGCTCTTTCTCATCCTTTGCTCTTATGCCTCACATTTTTGCCTTGCACACAAAACCATAATGTGCTTACTTTTCTCTACAACTTGCTTGAATGTGTTCCTGTAGTTGCTGTTACAGTTATTAAGGACATGCAGAGTATTTTCTAGGGCTATACATTCTTTCTCAGCTTTTTGGATCTTTGCATCCAAGGTATCTCCTTCACGCTGAAGATCTTCCTTCTCCTGGGCAGCCTTGGAATAAAATAAACATTTAAGTTAAAAAGAAAAGCTGAACTAAATTCCCATATTCAAAGAATGCTTGGCAGTCTGGTTTGAAAAAAAGCAGTACCAGAGGGCAAGGTTACACAGGACATCCCCAAAGTAAAGGGTGGGGTTTCTTTATGTTCTTTCAGTCCCTTCTGACTCTTCATGACTCAATGGACATAATTTTGCTAGAACTATCTGTCAGTAACTGCTTGAGTTCTACTAAGCTCATGTTTAGTAGAACTTCAATGACAGCATCTAACCTCCTCGTCTTCAGTTGGCCTCTTTTTCAATTGTCCTTCATTTTTCCTTTTTTTAAAATTAAAACTTTTATTAAGATATATAAAAAGTACAGTTAAAATACAAATCAGAAAGTATA